TTTTCATAATAAGATGCGATCCAGTGAAAAAAATCATGTTCAAGGCTGGCATTCTTGAGCAGATGAACTCCTTATGGCGGCAGGAATTAACCAGCGAATCGCCGAGCGCCAGATTTTTGGCAGACTGTCTACTCGTGGTTTCATCAATGCTTCGAAACTATCCGGCCGCACAAAATGCATTCTTTTCTGAACGGTCGGACACGGGAGATGCAGTTGCCTTTTCTCTTCTCCTCAGCACTACGGAATCACCTGCATGGACGTGCTATGACAAATATTGTCGCAGACTTAAGTTTCGTATTTTCCGTCTTTTGGGCGATCTCATCGATGAAAGGGTAAGGCTTCTTTTAAAAGTCCACAGTCCAATATAATTTACACCAGAATCTACCCTACACCAAAAATTATACTATCTCTGGTTGGCTAATTAACTTTGTTTGTAGTAACAGGTGTAGTTCTGGGCGCACTATCTGTCTTGATTATTATTCACTTGCAGTCTTTTCTATGCATGTTAACTCTACGTGCCTTTCGACACATTTTTTCTCAGAATTACCTCAAGGAAATGGAAGCCGAAAAACGCCAAATTTACTCTGAGTACGTACTACTTATGTTGCATTTTTGCGTTGTGTTGGAGAGACAGGTTCCCTAAAATCAAGAGAGAGAGGGGATAGATAATAATTTTTTCCTAATAACACAAGCTTCTGAGCAATCTCACAGATATAATCTCCTGCCTGATTGCCTTATTGGACGACATTCATGCGACCTTTCACCAAATAACAGCATTAAACTATTAGAAACTATTCAAGGGTATGAAGGTAATAAACTACGGGGTACCAAGCACTCCAAAGTGCATTTGACTCCCTCTGGCATACTGCCACATAACAACTTTGTCCTTTAAGGTTTGACCTGCCTACAGAAATCAGAAAGCATGGTTGGTGTCACCGTGTAGTGGAATTAGTATTGGACAGCAAACTGCTCAATACGCATGTCAATCTGGAGAGTGCCCTCGAATGCGGAAAGGAGATCACGCAAGCATGCTCAAGAAAAGACTTATTCGCCGAGGATCAGGAGCCTGAAAAGCTCGCAGCCAAGTTAGACGTCCTGGAAGAAGAGTATGAAGGTCTTGCGAGAGCCGATGCAGAAGACGATCTTCAATACTACGAGAAAGTTCATCGTTTGGTGGTGGACTTCCGAAAGGCTGTCTACGGCAGTGACCCACTTGCCACACCAACGCCAATCCATGTTTGATTTTCTTTCATCACGCTTGTATCCATTTGGCTCATGACTTCACTGGGTTATTTCGTTCTAAATTATATTTTGCAGTTTGACATCTTTCTTGCTTGCATTCTACCCAGTCGAACTTGATGCTTTTAAAGCAGACTCGAAGCCCTATGCAGGCGTTTCGTTTGTCGTTACCTTATCTGTAGATTTTGAGCATGGGGGCGGAGCAGGAAATCTCAGATTGTAACCGACTTGTTTCGGGGAGGTATTCTTCTGTACGGTCGTCTGGTTTGAACATATTTTTACGTAAGTACTGTTTTTCGTTCAGCACTTTTGAAAATTACTCTGACGGTCAATTTGTTCCTTAGTCTTTCTGCGTACATGCTACGCGACTTTCGTCATTTTTTACATATCGACAAGCAACGAAATCGGTCGGCCGAATACTTATGTTACCAGGCAATATACTTATATTGTTATGGTGTTTCTGAAAATCGATAGAATAAGAGAGGCAAAAAAAAGTTTTGATATTTTATTCTGAGCCAACGATTTAAGTCATTTTGTGCCTTAATGCTCTACCAACAGCAGCTGGCTCCGTGCAATTCTCTGACTGAAATAGTGCGGCTTCGTATATTTGCGAATTCATGACTTTAAATTGCAGAGGGATTTGATTGTGCGGGATTTTCTTCCTGATTTGACAGGTTGGTCGGATAAAACCAATGTGACCCTCCAAAACCCCAACACTGGAGGCCAAAAATTGAGCCGAGATCTTCTCATTAAGGTTGAGAGGCCAAAAATTGCTTGATAATCAAAAGTTCCGGACCCGATTTGGAGTTTCCGCACTCTTACAGAAGTTCATTGTTGGAGTCAGGGTAGACGGGAATCAGTGAGTAAAGTTTCATGTGACTGCTCACGGGATGATCAAAAGTGTCCTCTTATGGATACTTCTCCGTTGCCACGAAGTGAGATGCAGGATCTAATACATGTTTTTGTCAGGGCTCCATTCGGATTCTGTTCTAGGTTTCTATTGTCCATATGGTCTGCTTCTGCGCCCGAGGAACCTGGCCGTGGCCTATTTTTTCATGGTTGGCAGCGAACTTGGGTAACCGATCACACCACTCGCATTGTGTCAGTTCTCGAGGAGTCAGGAGCTCGACTCTCCTATACTCTGGCAATGTCAGAACAACTGAGTTATTGTCAAACGCCTTGTAGGCTCATGCTTGATTTTCGCTACTGACCAGTCGTTGTCGTCGACAGAGGTCGGAATGCTTGTTCTTTCGGCAACCGATCATTGGTTGATTCCCACCGTGCGTAACGCAGCAACTGGCAGTCAGAAATCGAGGCAAAATTGAATCGGGACTTACTTTGTGGTCAAGTCTGGTTTAGCCAGCACAATGAAACGCCCGCCTTCTACTTACCTCTCTGTACGAATATGAAGTAGTGGGGCCCGAAACTGATCGCTGATTGGTCAGAAAGGACCCGGTGCGTGTCCTTTACTGACGGCTTTACTGACTATTTTTGTTGGGGATGTTGATCTTTCCACATTCTCAGAAACTAAAATGAACAAAGAACCCGTACGATTAATAGATTTTTTTCTTGACAGTGACGAAAATTAATTTAGAAAGCATTTACTTAAAAAAAGCTGCCGTGACCGAGATAGGTTAATTCAAATTCCGGCTTTCCGGACAGCAAAATGCCTTCCGATCCTCATAAGGCACGTAAGCCTGCTTATATTTCGCGTTACATGACGAGCCAGTCGTGTAGATGAATGATAACGCATTTGAAAAAACACGAGGGTTTAGTTATCCATTGCCAGTAAGGTACCAGTTTTCGTTTTTAGTGTCGGTGACTGTCGAGACGCATAAGCACACGTTTTTACTCACTCACCGCGTGTTTGTTCTTATGTGTGATAGTACGGGGGGAAGTAGGTTAATTTGCCGTTTGAAGGGTCGCTCGCAACTGCCATTTGGTCAGCACCTCAGTCCAGTCCCGTGAATATGTCAAAGTCGGAGTTTGCTCCCATTTTCAGCGACAGGGGCTTGGATCTAGCCTCCTCCCTGCTACTCGCTGCTCATGCAGCGTCGTTCGCAGTTGTCGGTCGGATTCCCTGACAGCCCGGCCACCGGAGAGCATACGAGGGTAAACAACTCAGAACTGTTGGTTACAGTTTCTTTCTATCCTTAGCGGAAGTTATTAATAAGACTTCTTTTGTCTAATCATTCCAGCTATTGGTGGGACCATACTTGCGGCCTCTCGTTCACTTCGTGCTTCTGGAGATGAGTGCATACGGATCTGTCAGTGGGGAATGGAGATTCTGTGGAAGTGGGCCATCTGGTATTCCTTGATAACTCGCATCAAACAAATTGCGCATGTTATTCAGCAGAATACCGCTCACGCATATTCACTGATGGAAGTATTCGTCCGGATATTTGTAAAAAAGTTGGGTCGGATCTTATTTCGTAGCCGTACCTTCAATAGACAAGCCCCAGCCTAGCCCCCCAAATCTAACCCATAACTCCAGTCCCCAACCTTAACCCCCAACCTATAACCCTGATCCCTAACCCTTAACCCCAACTCCTAACCCTAACCGCTCGCTCCTAACACCTAAGAGGTACGGCTACAAAACGAGGTCTTGCCAAAAGTTGACGAAACCAATGAAGTCTCCCTGCATCTGGAGTGGAGCTATGGGTGTTTGGGATTCGATTGAACAGATTTCCGGAGTGATTGAACACTAACCGCCGAAGAAGTGGGGGAGGCTTAGCTCCTCACTCAAAGGTAGCGTATGCCGCAGGCCCAATTGCTTCTAAGGCTAATGCATGCAAGTCGTGCAGTGTCTCAGTCACCAGACGGATTGCTATGCCCCTTGTATTTGGAGAACACTTGAATTCAAATAGTTGGCAGATTTTTTTCACTTCAAAAGTGCTTGTGATGTCTACAGCCCGCTCAATGAGATGCCAGACTGCCCGTCGTTGGGCACTTTTTAATGCACTTATACTGCCTGCAGACTCCGGTCAGATCACGGTGACTGATGGCTTAATTTAAATAGTGCCGCCTCAATAAATGGAAAACAGATGTCAAGATTCATGATTCAAGATTTCAAGTCTGACCGCGTGAAAAAAGGAGGACGTCTGCACCACATGGTTACTTACAGACCTTTACTACAGACCGCCTGAAAGACTGCCTTCTGTGTCATAGGCCTCGGAGTCTATGGACTTCATGCTGGCTATGAGGCCTGACCTCTAGGTGTGAGTTGAGCGACAAAAGTGACAGACATGTGCACCCTCTAAAGTTCACGCTGCAATCCAAGCATGTGCTGAGGGGCGTTGGACTGTCTTCACTAACATGCACCCTCAGCATAGACAGCAGACTTGGTGGTTTGGATTCACCTCATGTGCATCGTGTGCTGGGTCAAGCACAGCGAAGTAAAACAATTCGGTTCAGCAGATGGTGAACCCAAGCAAATCGGTGGTCATCGTGCGCACTACGTTGGCCCTGACCTACAAGGTGTGCGTAAGTCGCGCACGCATAATATTTAGAAGCCAATTTTGGATCCTGCTGGCGTCGCTTCTGTTCCCTTCCGTCAATGGTAAACACGCTTTGGGGTTTCAATGACTGCAAGTGGTAGAATTCCCAGGTCCTCCGTGCACTTTGTTTACTAGAACCACCTGATTTGTAGGTGCGAATTCTGTTATTGTAATTAACGTTGGCGACCGTGTAGAATGAGTTAATGAGCGTCCTTCAATCTCGATAGAAACCCACCAGTAACAGAGGAGTATTTCTAAAGTAGACACAATGGCCTGAAAGGCAAGTTTCGTGTATTCTAACTGAATAGTTAATCATACACCAACTAGAGGTCAGGAAGACTCCCAACTGATGTTTCTGTATACGTGTATAGATCGATTTTCCAGCTTGACCGCAGTGCAGTGCACTGCACATGTCTCACGGGACCTTATTAACGCTTCCTATCTTATCTAAATAGTTAACCATATCTTGAGAGTCTACAGGCTCAGTGGCTGGTGTGGTCTTAGACGCAATCATTATTACTCACAAGAACAATACCGGCAGCTGAAGGGACTCCCTAGGGGGTCACCCATCTCTAGCCTTCTTGTTGAAGCCATAGTGCAACATTTATGGGGTACGGCACTATCATTGACTATTTAAAGGAGGAAGGATATGTAAACGAAATTATATGCGACACCTGCAGTGCAGGGTACTGTGGTCACACTGCCTGACAGCCAGTCTATGTCTGGTAACGCGAGTCCCAATTCGCTATGTAGTACGGTTACCGCAAGCAAAAGAATAAGGTGCACATGGGGTGCGGTAAATAACATTAGGTTGAGGCTCTATGGGCATGAAGTTCTTTACTTGGGATAATGCTGTACTCTGAGGAAAGGTAAATACTCACCGGATAGAGGAAATTGTTTAACTGACGTTTCGAAGAGCTTGGGCGGCTCACCATCATCAAAGCGTCTAGTGCAATAATCGGTCATAATTTTGAATATACAGCCGAATTAGTTGACCTTTGGCTGTACGCTTGTGGTTGATGCAGGTACCCCTTGCCAAGGTGGCAGACTAGCACTTACCTTTAAATGTCTCGTCTTCATTCATTATCTACGCTTGTTGTCTTAACGCAGTCGGGGCCATGCTAGATTGAGATATGTGCTGGCCAACTGCGACATCAGGACGCTTGACTGACTGATATCAGTCAAGTCAGTGCACATAATTGACGGTGTCGGACTTGTGCCACTAGTAAAT